AGACTCCAGCAGTAGCAGTGCTGTGACCAGGATTTCCTTGGAGACTGACCTCAGCAGCGCTGGTAGGGTGCACAGCTGGGCAGGGAGGAGCTCCACAGCTGGGGCTGGGATCTTGCACTGGTAATAGCGTGATCCAGAGCTGGGGCAGAGCAGCAATCTGTTGCCTGCACACCCCTGCCCAGGCCATGCAGGCAGCAGATTGCAGCTCTGCTCCAGTTCTGGACCATGCTGTCACTGCTAAAAGATCCCAGCCCTGGAGCAGCTCCCCGCCTAGCTGTGTATCCTGCCAGTGCTGCTGGGGCTGGTCTCCCTGGAAACTCCAGAAAAACTGTCACAGTGCCACCACTGCTAGGGTCTCCAAGGAAACTGGCTGCAGTGACACAGGCAGGGGCTGCTGGGAAAATGGAGTCCACCACAGGCCTGATCTAGCCCATGGCCCAGACTTTGCCCACCCCTGTGCTAGAGTGTTCCCATTATTCCACCCCTCCCTCCCCAAACAGGATATGGCATATTTCCCTTTTTTTGCTCCCAATCAACCTGAAACCTACAAATCAGTCTATCCACCCGTGTCACATGGGCTTCCACCTCTGACATCTAGTTATACCTCTTGCTTCCCAAGGCATGGTCCTACCAGATACCAGAGACATGTGGGTCCAATCATGCTGCAGGCCTTGCTCCAAGCAGGTCTCAGGATGACTAGACATTTGTGGGGAAAGAAAGAGGGCTATTGATGGCACCCTTTTGCTCACCAGGACGTTTGGCATTCTTGAAAAATTCTCTCCAAGCATGTGAGCCCTGGGAACTCAGTTGACAAGGGCAAGATGGTTGAAAGAGATTACGGCAGGAGAGTTGTATGGAGATAATGGCAGCACATCCAGCAGTGATGCTGAAGGATTGGATGCCCGAGATGATGTTCCTCCCTAAAGTGCCACCCAAGCTGTACCAGCCATCAGAACAGTACATCTTCTACTTAACAGCCCCAGACAAAAGAAGGGACACCCCAGGATGCTTGGTTCCCATTTGGGTCTGCATCTTGGCAGGGGCTTGGGTTGGAACCTTTTCAGTCCTCCAGGTTCATGTTATCACTGTTGTTGGATAGTTTTATCTCCTCCCCAGAGTTGATTGTAAAGCAAAGCTCTATGGAGTAATTTCCCGCAAGGATTTGTGAGAGCCCTTCACAGTACAGACATACCACCTGTCCAGCATGTAAAATATGGTTGCCATGATAGTCTCTCTTGTGCTGCACCTTGGCCCAGCTCTGGTGCCACCCATGGTTGTGGTTGTGAACTGCCATCTTTGCTGTGATCTGCTCAGTGGCTCTTCCTGAGGGACCCTTGGGTGCTACTGGCTACAGCTGGAGAGAAGGCCCATGGCCTCCACTTGCCTCCAGTTGGTGAAGGATTTTGCAGACACAGGCATTTGGGGTATAGGTAGAGTGGTGTGGTTATTTGGTTGGTTGGTGAGTGGGTGGGTACTCAAAAGTGTGTACTATTTGAAAAGTCAAGTTCCTGGGGTGGTGGTCCAGAAAATTAAAAAGGGCAGTAGAGTTGGGAGTGAGTCACAGGAGCATCAGGTTAGGGCTGTGGGGCCAAGGTCAAGAAGCAGCGTACTGTGTGATGCTGGCAAACTGACAATATCATGTGCTGCTGGAGGGTGCAAACATAACACAAAGCACTTCAAAGCTGTTCAGGTTTCATCCAAGGTCTTTTTCATATGGTTAGAGCACATTTATAGCTTTTCAGTGCTGTGTCATCTGTGTCCTCACTTTTTAGAGAGCCTCAAAGGTACTTTGACCACTACAGATGTTACTCCTCTTCATACCCAGAGGGAATTAATTAGAGAGTCCCCTGGCCTGAGTTACTATGACAGTAAGCATGGAAGCAAGGTACATGTAGACATTTCTGAGGAGGGAATTGGCACAACCAGAATTAATAGATACTTCTTCATTTGACAACAGTAATGCAAAAAACAGTCACCAGACGACAAAGCTAACCTATTTAACAATGTCTTTGCCTCTATTTTTCTGAGCAGGGACCAGGTCTTCCCCCACACCGGGATCCCTGATGGTCCCAGGGGAGGCTCAGCCAGGCCCAGGGTCAGAGAGGACCTAGTCAGGGAACTTCTGGTGGGATTGGACGTGTTCAAATCAGCAGGTCTTGACGATCTCCACCCCAGAGTGCTGAGGGAATTAGCAACGGTCATTGCAGAACCCCTGGCACAGCTTTACAAGTACTTGTGGTGCTCTGGCAAGGTGCTAGAGGACTGGAAAGGGGCCAATGTGGTCCCCATTTTCAAAAAAGGGAGGAAGGAGGACCCAGGAAATTATATGCCTCTTAGTCTTACCTCGGTCCTGGGGAAGCTGTTTGAGAAATTATCCAGGTGCACATCTGCAAGGGTCAAGCAGGGGAGTGTATGCTTAGGGGCAACCAACATGGCTTCATTAGAGACACGTCCTGTCAGACCAACCTGGTGGCATTCTATGACCAGGTCACAAAATGCTTGGACACCGGTGTCATGGTGGACGTAGTCTTTCTGGACTTTAGGAAGGCCTTCGACACTGTCTCTCACCCCATTCTCGTTAAAAAAATTGGGAGATTGTGGTGTCAGTGCCTACACAGTCAGATGGGTTGCCAATTGGCTGGAGGGCCGTACCCAGAATGTGGTGGTGGACAGGTCATTTTCGACCTGGAGGGATGTGGGCGGTGGGGTCCCCCAGGGCTTGGTCCTCAGGCCCGCACTATTCAACATCTTCATCACTGACTTGGACGAGGGGCTGAAAAGCACCTTGTTCAAATTCAGAGTTGACACTAAGATGTGGGGAGAAGTGGGCACGCTAGAAGGGAGGGACAGGCTGCAATTGGATCTGGGCAGGTTACAGGGGTGGGCGGATGAGAATAAGATAGGATTCAATACTAACAAGTGCAGGGTACTGCACCTAGGGAGAAAGAACCAGCAGCATACCTACAGGCTGGGGGAACTCCCTTCTCATCAGCACAGAGGCAGAAAAGGATCTTGGAGTCATTACAGACTCCAGGATGAACATGGGCCACCAATGTGGGGATGCAATCAGGAAGGTTAACCGCACCTTGCCATGCACCCACAGATGCATCACAAGCAGGTCCAAGGATGTGATCCTCCCCCTCTATAAGACATTGGTCAGGCCACAGTTGGAGTACTGTGTCCAGTTCCGGGCGCCACACTTCAGGAGGGATGTGGACAATATTGAGATGGTCCAGAGGACAGCCACTTACATGATCGGGGGCAGCAGGGCAGGCCCTACAAGGAGAGGTTATGAGACCTGAACCTGTTCAGCCTCCCCAAGAGAAGGCTGAGAGGGGATCGGGTGGCCATCTATAAATTGCCCAAGGGAGACCAGCAGGCAATGGGAAAGTCCCTGTTCCCCTGAGCACTACTGGAAGTAACAAAGAATAATGGCCATAAGTTGACAGAGGGTAGATTCAGACTAGATATCAGGAGGCACTACTTCACAGTCAGGGCAGCTAGGATCTGGAACCAACTTCCAAGGGAAGTGGTGCTAGCTCCTACTCTGGGGGTCTTCAAAAGGAGGCTAGATAATCACCTAGCCGGGGTCATTTGACCCCAGCATTCTTTCCTGCCCATGGCAGGGGGTCAGACTTGATGATCTACTTAGGTCCCTTCTGACCCTACCAACTATGAAACTATGAATGCCATTCACAGCAGTTTTCACAACACTATGAAGCACTTCAGAGACCACTCAGAGATTGATAGGTTAATAGATTGGCTATAAGCAGGCTGATAGACATCAAAATATTTTGACAAAGTTCCTATTGAACAGAGGATTTTATTGTACATTGTTTAGCTAGTATTATGGGAGTGCTTCTTTATAAGGTAGCAACCGAGTCCTGGATTGATAAACTTTGAGGCCAAGTTAGCAGCAAGCATGTGACAACTGTTAAAGCGAAATACGTAGTCTCACCTTGCACCTCTCCTACCCTCCACCAGTACCATTATTAATCATTTAAATCTTGTCAAGTGAAGTCTAGAGAAGGCATTTAATCAGTCTGGGAGGTGCTCAGTATAGAAATCAACATACTGGGAGTGTCTACACACGATGCTACGTCACTGTAGCAATGCACTATGGTGATGTAGTGCCAATGGATGTCTACATGTGACCAGCAGCTACTTTGCCATAGCGGTGTGCTACAATGGGGGAGTGTGCCGCTACAGTGAAGTAGCTGCTAAAAACAACCATGTGCCACATGTATGGTGCAGTACAGGCAGTACTATAAGGAAGTCCCATAAAGGAAGTACTGAAGCACAACACAGTAAAAATGTTGCCATAGAGCAATGTGTAGATTGCTGCCTCTTAAAAATGCATATTCAAATGCAGTATATTATAACTAAATACAAATAACTATGTTATTGAAACCAAGGTCAGCATATTCAAAAGCTAAGATGTTCAGAGTAATATAACCCAGACACATTAGATATAGTGAAATGAAGCATGTTATAGGATATAAAATTAAGAATAAATAGATGAAAACATAATTTAATTGAATAGACAGTTTCTACGCTGAATTTACTTAGTTTCAGTTGTTAAAAGCAGATTAACTATCATTATGTTGCTAAAAAAAAGTTAAATCCGCTGGTAATATCCAGTGTCCAAGTCTCTAATGACTAACCAGATTTTACTGCAAATTTCCAAAATTTATAACTCTCTGTGTCATAGGTATTTCACAGACAGGTAAATGTGGAAATGAAAAGGTGCATGAACTATGTTCTCCTTTGTCTTTCACCTCTGTATCACCAAGAATCATTGACACATCATTAGGGCACATCTTTCATATGAGATCTGTTCTTACAGTAGTTTTATTATTCTTGTTTTAAGTTTTTATTGATAGGACACCTTTTCAGTGCCCTCTTGTGCATAACAATAATAGCATGACCTTTTAGAACATTTCTACTGGCTTTAAATTGCCAGAAAACATAAGCAGTTCATTTTTTTTTTTTTTACTTACGATTAGAAGTATAATCAGTAAGAAGCAACTGTGGGTTGTTTTTTCCATTGTGGATTCTTTCTGGGGAGATGCGCCTTTGCTGACCCTTCTGGGAAGTGAACAACAATAACAAAAGTATTAGCCTTATTTATCCATGACCAACTGTGACAGTTTCCCTGCTTGTGTATGCCTGAGAGAGAGTGTGTGTGCACGCGCGTGAGCACATGGGCATGTTAAAAAAGTTTTCTGCTTTTAAAGTTTTGTGTGCATGTGCAGATTGTATACTTTCATTTTGGTCTTTTTCACGGCTTCCACTTTTCTGCAACTAACTCAAATTACTAGATTCCAACTAGCCCAGCATGTGCATGTAAGAAAAACTGGATTGAAAAACAGCACTCAAGATACCCAGAGTGACTGGATTACCAGTGTAAATGTAGTGGCAGTTGATGCATTGTTTTAATCTGAGTTTTAGGCCAGAGCTACATCCTGACTAAATTACTAACTCAAGTATCAGCAACAATAGAACTTCAGTTACACCATATGAGAGGCTAATTAGCTTGAGTTTAAAGCACCACCTAACTACAGCTAGAGAATTTATTCGTATGTGGAAAAGCAGAGCTAGGGATCAGTGCTCAAGTTATAGTTTGCACTAACTCTGTAGTAAAGACAAGCTCTTGGACTGTTTTGCTTTTGGCAGTGCGTTCCATTTTAATCCTTAGACCTTTAAAAACCTCAGTAATTTTTTTAAACATGATTAGAAGTACTATGAATTGGGCACTCAGTTCAGACTTCTTCAAGGCTTGTCGTCATCCTCACCAAGTATAAATTTTTACAGCCATATTTAGCTTTTAGTTGTATTTGTTGTTGTGGCTACAGGTTCAGATGAGAGATGCCTCAGTCTGTGAAACAATAGGTGGAGACAGAAGTGACAATTTTTGCCCAATCTGGCCCCTGAAAGCGCCCTACAGGTATGACCAAACACAAGTACATGGCTGCAGAGTGCTTTAAAGAGGCCTGATCCCATGACAATCTGAACTCTCACTGATGATGGTTCAGATAAAGACATTGCAAAATGAAGTGCCTTCAGTATCTTGTGTCTGCTCCCAGCTCTGCCTTCAGAATGGGAGTGGGGGAAGGGAGCAGAGGCAGTTCAGTCTGGAGGTTGGGGCAGGCGGATTGGAGGCGCAGGGACTCTTATCCACCTGTTCCACCCTCTGGCACTGGCTGGCAACCCCCAGAACGAGCTCCCTCCATTCGCTTTCCTCCCTCCCATTCTGAAAACAGTGCCTGGGCTGGGAGTGGGAAGGGGCATTGCTACGGGAGTCCAGCTGCAGGCTTGTAGTCGCTCTAAACAGCTGCTCGATTCCCAACCCCTGGGGCCCAACAGAAAAAGTCTGTTGGGTCTGAGGGATCATTATAACTCATGGCACTTCTGGCGATGCTGCTTTTCTGTCTGTGCCTAATGATTCCTCAGGAAGCCTTCCCTAGCCCCACCTTTCCAGCCATGTGAAACAAAACCCCCCAGTGCCCTCTCAGAAATGGCTCTTACAAAGGCTTTAAGCACTGAAGGCAGTAGGTGTCCAGCTAGTCCTTCCTCTTAACCTCCCCAGTGCCAATTGGCACTCTGCAGGTATCCACTGTTTTCTAAGGATTAAAAAAATAGCTACGGAGGGATTTTTTTTTCAAATGCTCCTAACATCTTATTCATATATATCTTTCAGCTGTGCATTATTTTCTGCCAATGTTAGAAAATGCCCAGATTACTGTGTTCTTATTTGCTGCCATCTTGTAACCAGAGATTGAAAGGTGCTGTGCTGAAACTGTGGTGCAAGCCCTGGGTGTATTTGGACTTCTTGCAAACATCTGCAGGAATTCTGAGGGCTTGTAGAATTAGACCCTCAATTTATTTTATAGAGTATGAGCACAAATAACCACTCAAATGCAAAATACCAGGAAAGCAACATCATCATTCACTTCAAAGTGCTGTGGCAGGCAATACATCTGAGGTAAAGCAAAGCAAGTGACATAATTTATGATCATCCTCATCTAAGGAATGAGCAGTGTTGTAGACTTCCTATCAAGCAGTAATAAGGATGTGCCACAAACTGACCTTGTATAGTAATACAAAATCAATGAGTGCCAATATACTAGGGAGGGGTTGTTTTAATTAGAATGGTTTCCTGACAGCTGCTCTAATGAATAGTTAACAGTGCCCCTATTGCCATTTTAAAACGTGGTGGGCCTTAATATACATGATGGTGAGGCAGTGCCGGAGCGTTGTAATTAGAACGCAGAGGAGACCCAATTAATCGAGTCTGCTCCAATGCATTCTAATTAGAAAGTGAATCAGCATGTCAATAGGCAGCCATGGTATTAATGACTTCTACTGTTTAAGGTGATCTTTAAATGCATGTAGCCTGATCTTTCTCTGCCTGCCTCTCATGCTGTGATTTACATGTATAAAAAGTAAATGCAGAGTGCACATAAACTGCTATGCAGTTATGTGCACTCCAGAATATAAGTGTTTTATGCCTGGCTGTCTCAGATGTGGAAGACTACACTCATTGGAAGCAGTGAAAAACACAGCTCAAGAAAATAGATTTGCAGCTGATTAGAAGTTGTCTGTCAGAGCCTGAGCAGGGATACACTGTATATGACACTCTCAAGATGCAATGGGTTGGGTAGTGACTACAGTGACAACATGTGATCACAGTAAGTCATCCACATAATTATTTTCAATCAGCAATGCCAGACAATTGAATCAAAGTAAAGGACTTCCCAGTTAGATAAGAGGGGAAGTACCTTGAACCTTTTGTATACAGCTTCAATTAATTCACTAGTTTGTAATTTACCAGTTTTGCAGGATTAAGATAAGGACACCAAACAAAGAGTTATACATATATGCACATGTGTAGAGAGAGGTAGTTAGCCATTTAATCTGAATTCAGGCAGGAGGCAGAAACTGTTTTAGAGAGGCATAAGCTTTCATAGGTGACAGGCTGATTTATCAGATGTTAGGAAGCCTCTAGCTAAGGGCTTGTATACACTAAAAGAGCCTGTCTACAGTTACTAGGCAGGCAGAAAAGTGTTTTTTCTGCCAGCATGACCAACCACCTGAAAGCATAGTTTTATAGCATCCGATGAAGTAGGCTATTGCCTATGAAAGCTCATTCCTCATACCATGTAGCATGAACCAGTTAGTGTCTATGGTGCCATCCTGCCCTGTCTTTTATATGTACATGTTTATAGAGCTAAGTGGAGACTGTCAGTCATATTTGTACCTTCCCATTCTCCCTCTTCTGGTTTTCATTTATCTCCTTTTGCACTGGTGAGATGTTAAATACCAAGTCAACTTAACTTACTTAAATGCTGCAGATGTTGCAAAGTTATTTTAAAATATGGTTTCATTGTTAAAAATAGTATAACATTATCAGTAACACAGTGTTACAATCCATCAAGTACAGACTGTGAAAAATGACTAGTGACTGCTGTTAAAACTAGTTTTTTTATTAGCAGGTGTCCCAAAGTGTCATCTCTGCTTTTCCACACATTTAGAATAGGATCACAGTAACTCTCTGCTGTAACTGTTAGTGACCTGTATCTTTTAAAATGATTTCCCGGTAGGAAGGTGTTGATACACTTTTGTACGCATTGAAAGATTTAATTTTTTTCTCTTATCTCTCCTTGTCATTAAGAAAACTAGCACTCAGATTCTTTATACATTCTTTTTCTTCTCCTCTCTACCTCTTATTGACTTTTGTAGTTATGCCAAAAATATTATATTGTAAAAGAGAGAACTATTTCCCAGACTAAATCTGGGAAATATAGTGTGGATACTGTAGCCTTTCTTGTTCCGGCCATTACTAACCACAGGAATGGTTGAAAGGCTACATAAAAGATTGGTGCCTCTTTTCTTTCCCCTTCACTTTTCAAGAACTATTTCCAGTGACAACAATTTCAACAGTGTAGATTTCTCCAATCCAAGTAAGAAAGGTCTTGATCCAAAAATGTGTTAACCATGACAATGCCCAATGATAAGCAATGTTAGGCACCTTGACTTAGCATTAATATCAGAGCCCAAGTGATAATCACACTAAAAGACAGAAGCCTCTGCGATCATGTATCTCTTTAGTAGCCATTAATCACTGGAGTGCAGCCAATAGGTAGGTCTTTACAAAATGTACGGTAAGCCTAATGGCCCATGACAACAAGAGATTTGGATTGGTGCATTACGTGCATCAAATCCACATGAACTTTGTGAAGTATCTGCTTGAAAGTTAATAGAGACTGAGTGTCCCAGTGAAATGTCTGGCAAAGTCATATGTGACAGTGCAGTTACATTGCCACTATGGTATCAGGGAACCAGGGAGGGCAGAAGTCCTCTGGGTAGATGTCTAGTCTGTAGTGGAGATCTTTGGTCCCATTCCATAGGGGTGCAAACTCTCCTCCAACAAACATTCTGTGCAAACATTAGGGATTTGAAGTCACGCTCCCATTATGCCTCCACTCGTAAGTGTGATGAGAAAGCTTTTGTAGGTGCCTGCTAATCTCTAGCTATTCTGCTGTTTCCAATCAGCTAGACCCATTCTCTCAGCAAAGCTCTCTTAATTTGCCAAATAGCATTATTGTAAGAGGATATAAATCAGAGGCACAAGCAGGGATGGGGAATCCCAGTCAGGCAATTCAGGCTTTTGTTATGATGGTTATTTTTATATATCTGTTACTGCAGATGTTCCCTCATGCACACTCATTTTTCCTCAGTTGATACTTATTCTAATAAATTGCACTGGTGATCTGCTTTTGATCTTAGGAAAATGCTTTTCCTTATAGGTACTACCATGTGGCATGTACTTCACTTCTCTTTTCTCTCCTTGGAGGCATTTCTTTTTTCCTATTTTACCTGGGGTCCCTTATGAAATTCTCTGATTTATAATGACTCTTCTGAAAAAACACAAATAACCTCATTGCTACTAACATTCATTTTTCCTTTTTTATATATTCCAGGCATTGTATGTAGCAAGCATGTTGGGTGACAAACCCCCAGTTTCTAGGAAATAGTGTGTGGGGCTATCCCTTTTGCATTCTGCTGTAGATAGCGCCCTTTGC